CAAGGGGAGAAAACAGGGTATTATAAAAGGCTGTCAAGCTGTGTCCACAGGCGCTCCTGCTTGCTGGACACCCGCCATTGCAATCGCGAATAAAATCTGCTTTTATCAGAGATACCGTCCTGACAAAGTTACTTGGATATTTCCAACAGTAGCAAGAAATACCAAAACTAGCTCTAAAATAGCTGTCTGCTATTGTTGATGTGGGAATCAAGTGTTGTTTCTGCATTAGAATTGTATAATGTTATTTTTGTTTTATGATCTCCGCTGTCGTGGTTCTTTTTGGGAGTCCTTCTACTTAGCCTGGGGAGGATCTCTAATAAGTTTAGATTACTTATTGTATAGACGAACCTTCCCAGGAACGCACACTCTGTATATATGTATATTTTGTCATACACACTGCAAGAATATCCTGCAGGAGAGCAAACAAGGGAACAAGCTATGGCATGCCCGAGGAAGCGCCTGACATTGGGAAGGCCTGACATCATTCCCCAGTGCTCTTTGTTTAACGATGATGGCTTTAAAGAAAATCACCCTATCAATAGGACAAGGAGAGCACCGAGACATCTTGGATGATTACTGACTGGCACCAGATAACAAATAAATTAACAAGTAAATAGCAAATGTAAATTCTTCTGATAAGATTGTGAACCTGGAGTACCCAGCCATTGGGGAAACAGGGGAGGGGGAGGTAAGGGGGAGAAAACAGGGTATAAAGGCTGTCATGTTGTGTCCATAGGCGCGCTCCTACTTGTGGGACGCCCGCCATTGCAATCGCGAATAAATTTTGCTTTTATCAGAGATACCGTCCTGACAAAATTACTTGGATATTTCCAACATTGACACTATTCATGCAAAGTAAATTAGCCTGACATGGAGACCATGGTGCCCTAAAGGAACCTCTCCTGTACCCCAGGTGGCTAGGAACTCCTTTGAGCCGTGCTGTACTACACTACAGCCACTTCTCTGTTGAATTCTCTGAGTGAATCTCGACACAGCACAATACATCTACTTCTAGTGGGATTTTTCAAAGGCTGCTGAAACAACCCGTAGCTATGATCAGTGTTAGAGTTCACAAATATATAAAAATATATTGTCCAAGGACAAATGCTTTGCCTTTGGGTCAGACCTACATTTGGAGTGTCAGGTACTTCCAAAAGGAGCCACTAACACTAGCAGCACATACATACACCCTAATTTAAAATAACACAAGAAAATTTATCTCCAAGGAATGCTTTTCTGGATAACAGGGTAAACACTGCAACCAGTATCTTCGGAACAGAAAAAGCGATTTGAAAAAAATATACCATCTCCCTTACTAGATATGGCCTTTATAACGTGAACTTTTTCCTCATGCTTTTCTGGGTAGAGATGTCCCTGCTTACTTAGGGAAACTTGGGGAAAATATTCAGAAGCACTCTCTGTGAAATCTTTGCTGGTGAACAACAAATAGATACAAAAAATTAGAAGATTCATTTCAAGAAAGCAGTGTCTTCCTGTTCACTGTGAGCTTAGCCATAAATATCCCACTCACTTGTTTGGCACAGGACCAAACCTTTGCAAACAAGTCCAAAGAATGCTCAGAGAAAAGGAGATATTTGCCCATCACAGGAAAAATTCTCAATTAGCAATCAGTGATCTTGTTTCAAGGAAAGTGCTTTAATATGTGCCTTCCTTTCAAGCATACGAGAACTCCTGCTGATTTTAGTCTCACATCAGTGAGGTCAGTCAGGGATTTAGCCAGGAACTAAAAAGAATTAACTCCCCTCACACACACTGTGAATAATGGCTGGAGTGGTCTGCACCTCACAGTGCAGAAGTGACACGTCCCCCTCATCCCTTCCCACTCTCAGCATAAATCAGCAGTTTCTCTCTCCTTGAATGAATGACACTACCCCTCTGTTTTATGCAAGCTGTCAAGGTGTTGAATGGTGAGTGAGATACCAAGAAAATGTGACACCCAATTTACATCTGCATTGCTTTTCTACCTAGCAAGCCTAGAGAAAGTGTTAGTTACTTAGCATGTGGAAACAATTTAATAATTAAATATTTGGAATGGAACTGCAGAGGCACAACAAAAGTCAGAATCATCCATATGAATGAACAAATGCTTTTAAAGATAGCTTCAAAAGGTGGCAGTTTACACCTACAGAAGACTGTAAGCAAGCACAAAAGCATCCTCATATAAATGGACAGTAAGAGGGAATTTTTGATAACTTCCCGGTGTTTTAAGTCAGATTCCTTGTGATCACCTTGTTCCTTATAAAAACAGAGCCATACTAGTCTGCAAGCAGATCTCTGTTACAGGGGTTTGAACAGCAGGAATAGGGAAGAGCTTAATATCAGGAGACATTAAACACTTCATCCAGGTAGGAGAATTCAGTTAAAACATAAAAGTCCCTGATCCAAGTAGCATACGGCTAAAGCTGTCATGCAGTCATGACCAAGCTGCCCTCATGTCTGGATTTAATTCTACTGTATAATAACTGCAGCAGCCTAATAAAAAAAAAAAAAGTGAAAATCAAAATACTCCAAGAGAGCTCTGTCAATCACACATGTAAGAACCACAGTGAAAATGGATAGCAGACAACATTAGCAGACTGAGTATATAAAGGCTCTTATTAAAGACAAAAGTAACAAAAAAGTCTAGAGACAAATGGATAACTGCAGAACGAAAGCACCAATGCTATCAATAATTCCCATATGGTTGGAAAGGTTCAGCCAGAACTGCCGAACTAACACATACTGGAAGAACACCCATTTCATACAGACTCACTGATTTCACAGGAAGAGAAATCCATAGAATGATATAATGCTCCAGAAATACGTATTGTGTTAGAATTCTGCAAGCATTTAAAACAATCACCTTAAGAAAATGGTTGTATGAAAATGCATCTGGATAAAGTAACTATAAGTTAGGGGGAAAAATCCAAATAGAAACGTACTTGTAATTACTATGGAAGTACAGAGAACATGACTGAGAATTAAACATGATGATTTCAACTTTTCATTCAGTATGACTATAAAATCAGCTTAGTAGCTTTTTATTTGCAAAGAAATATATCTACACAGATTTCTTGCTAACGTTATTTGGGGGAAGGAACTTAAAGCGTTTTGAATTACTGGGAGACCAGCACAGTAGTTGGGGATATTATGTGTTCTACCTTTAGCAACTAAAAGAAAAACAACTATGCTAGAACAATACCAATGCTATCTAAGTAAAGGTTTTCTGAAAGCAGGAAAAGACTAAAAGTCTCTGTAGTATAGATCCACCGTCATTATGATAATTTTATAGTAATATGAAATCACTGTTACCAGAATCTGCTTGTAGTTCTGTGGGTTTTTTTTACCTGCCATTAGAAAAACACGTTAATAAAATACTTCTTTCAACATTTGGTTGCCTTATTGCTCTATTAGTAATGATTGTTCTGCTGCATTCCTTGAGCGTGGACTCCCTGATTTCTCCTAAAACAGTTTCAGCTGATGGCAGACCAGTGCCCTGCCAGGGCTTTTGTGTCTCTGTCTATGACAGGGATTAGACTGTAGTTTGCACACTGCAGTCTGTATGCACGCAAGGAACAAAATCTGTAGTGAGGCAATATTGCCTGGTTCTGAGTGTCTGGGCAAACAGCAGGTCTTGACAATTTCTCTTGTACTTTTCTGCATGCTTGTCAAGATCAGCCATGTGGCATAGTTAAAGGAGGATTCTTGCTCTGAACTGATTATTGTTTGCTCTTAGTGGCTCACTGATTCAAGCAAAAAGAGACTCACAGAAAGAGGCATTGATAATTGCTAAAACTAAGCAAATGTTTGAATTAATGTAATTATTTTAAACCAATATTTCTTTGTAATTTTAAGGATAGGTTAAAGATAGCAAAAAAGGATAAGTCAATCAGATAGTAAGAGGAGACTGATATATGTAAACATATAAAATATAAATCCCATTCAGGTAGAAAATCTGATCCAAAAAGAAAAACAAATCCTGTCATTCTCTGAAGTCCTCTAGAGATGTTAGAACTGCATTGAAATTTATACAGGGTTACACCATAAATGGCCTTCAGTGTAAGCCTTGCAGCAGAGAAGGAAACTAAGCAGTGCTCACCGAATCCACTTCAGCAGAAGCAGCCAAACTAAACCAGCAAGACACTAAGGAAAGAGACACTTTGATTTGAGGATAAGTATTCCTACGGGTGGCTCTCTCAAAAAGCAGTGTCTTTACTTATTTCCCTTGTAAATTTTCCCCAGCACAGAACACTATTTATTTTATTTTGCATATTGTACTAACAGTATTCCCTTAGTGTTCCTTTCCTTGCTCAGAATTATGTTTGACAGCTCTGGATCTCCTGGTAGACAAGACATGGAAAAATGCCTATCACAGTATTGCTCTGAGTTGGCTCGTACTTTGTCTATAGCAAATAAAGTGCTAACAGTCATTAGCAATAACAATTAAGCTATTCATTGTGCCTTTTGGGAAATGATGGATGGAGTTTTTTGAGCAAACCACATCCCAGCTGCACTCTTCATCAAATCTTCCCTCGTGAAAGTTGGGCTATTTGAGCAACTGCTCTGATTCAGGAAACAAACAAACTACTAAGGACTTCTTTGTACACACAGCCACTCACAGACAGTTCAGTAAAGAGACCACAGTTCACTGACCTGGGGAACCATAGAGTGATGGGCAGCCATGCACCTACTTTTAATTTCCATACTCAATTAAATCAAGCTCTCTAAAGAGCTCCTTAGAGTTCTCCTTCATAAATGCCTTTATTTGGATAGCTCACCAGGAGCACAAATGACAACACGGTGATGTGCTACTTCTTGCTCTAACCATCCTCAAACCTGCCTCAGTGACAAATAGAGAGGAAGTACACTTAAAGGAAAAGGTATTTCAGAAGATAGGATCAGGTTAATGTGGGACCTCTGATGCTGAAACATCTGAGTAACCTTTTCCCAGCTCCATAAATGAGGGCTACTTAACACCCATGCTAATTTCTCCTAGGGCTTGCTGGCTAAGGACCAAGGAGCATCAGAAAGCTTTCTTCTCTCTGCTTTCTACAGCACTTGAAATCAGGTGAGATCCTCTCTGCATTTGACTACCCTTGTATATTCACAGATAAAGCAGTGCAAAACTCTTCAGAAAACTTTCAAAGGACAGAATTGTTTTGTTAAAAACATTGCCTTTAATTGCCCAACAATGTAAACTCCTAATTCTTGAGATACAAGCATAACAAGCTCTTTGCAATGTGGCCCTCTCTGTTCTGTACTGACACTAAACAATAACGTTTCTAGAAACCAGAATTAGCTGCAATCATCTTCCCACATGTAGAATCAAGGTCAGAATCAAAACAAGCCATCACAAGCCTCCTAGTAATTACCATGAGCATAATGCCTTTCCTCATCGATAACTATCGATTTCTCGAAGGTCTCTGATGTCCATGCTGCAGTGTTCACTATAAGCACGATACAAAGTCCTCAAAGTTGTAAACTTCATTCTGTTAACTCTGAGCATGCTCTTAAAAACAAAAATAAATGGAACACATTATTTGTTTCCCATTTCAAACTGCACAGTCTTCATTCTGTAAAGAAAAACATTGTTGGGCCACTCTGTGGATAAAACCTGACAGTTGCTAGAAGCCTCTTTAGGGTAAAACTTTGCCATGAGAATACGCAATATGAATTACATTCACTTGTAGGTTGGCTTCATCTTGTTTCAAGACTAATATTTTTATTGTCCCAGCAACCTCAAGCATACTAAAATAATTGGAGTTTTAGTTTATGTAATTCTTCAATTGTTTTTCAGCCTCATTGTTTCACATTCACATAGCAATTACCTAATGCCTCAGCATGAACTAATGACAAATCTAAAATCTCTTTGAGAGTTACACATGATGTAACAAAGCAGAACAGCCTATGGATTCAGATGTGTTAGCCTGGCAGCACTCAGAATATCAAGGGAGTCACATCAACCTCCTCTTTCAAAAAGAAAAACCCCAGCCTTGCTAACCCAGAGGAGTAATTTCTGTGTCTGCTGAGGCTGAACTGAAGACATACTTCAGTGAACTTATTTCCATCCAAAGAAGAAAAGAAGCTAGTTCCTATTGATGCATTCAGCAAAGGAAGATCACTTGGTTCCTAATGAAGCCCCCTGAGTGAATTCAAAGTGAATCAGGATGAACAACAAACAAACAAACAAAAAAACAGAACAGAAAACAAGCAAACAAACAAACAAGCCAAACAGAAACAGAACAGAAAGAATGCTTATTGTTTTGGAATGACTCCCTCAGGTAAGTAAAAACAGCTCAAAAGTCCAGAAGTCTTTACATTAAGATTAATCTTCCTTGTAAGAGACAAACAAGCTGCAGTGGTTTGGTTGCTTCTGATTTACCATCTTCAAAACCTGGTAATTTCTTTTAGGAATGAATTGTAGGATAGGATTTCAGAACCTTTTTAACAGTAATACATACAGCTCCTCGGGATAAATCATTTTGCCTTTGACCTTCCAGCTTATCCATTTGGGGATCATGGTAACTTCTCTTAAAAAAATAAAATAAAATGAGGCACCTGCCCTAATATTCCCAAACTAGCGAGTTCCGCAAAATCCATTCAAAGTGCTGGCTAACCAGATTGATAAAACACTGCTTTATACAACCAGATCAAGCTAGATTTATGATTAATTGCATGGTTGCAAATTATCTTTCAGAACACTTTTATTTATTGCTCCCAGTATGGAAGGACAAATAATGCATTTAATGAGTATAATAAGACTTCATGTTCAGCAGCTTCTGTTCATTTAGATTCTTATGATTGCTTTATAGAACTGGCAACTGTGCTGCTGTCAGAATACATTTAAATTTTTATTCATACCAATGCCCACTGCTAGTTTTGCATACGTTGTCATAGATATACAAGTTGCAGTGTCAGTAAGAGGAAGATATTATTGCAAAGCATAGTTTCAACCTCAAAGAAAAAACCTGGAAGTTCAAGGTACTGTATCTTTCCAACTGCACCTTGATCCTCTGGGATTCTTTAGCATCACTCCCGCATATACAGCTAGGTTTATGCCCTCAGACTAGAACTGGAACTAAGAAGTCATAGTGGTTTGCAAAATATAAATATTCAGAAAGATTAATTACTCAATTTTGCTTAGTTATGTGAGTTACATTGCTCAGTTAGGTTATAGCTTGTATTCACATGCTACAATACTGCTTATGAAGGATGATCTAAAAATCGTGTGAACTGAATAAATGAAATATGTTCAGAATGAAATAGAATATTATTATAATACAGCACTGTCAATCACAGGGTACTTCTGACTGATGGCAGGTGGCAGATTCAGTCCTACTTTACAGGTATAAAAAACACTGCCTAGCTCACTATATACTTTCAAACAAAAAGTAGCAGAAAAGGTGATGTTAATAGACATGTGACTTCTTCTGAAATCTACTTGCAAGATGGGTAAGGAGCAGAGAAATGAGGAAAATGTGCCACACAGAAAACACAGATGTTGTAATGCCCACTGCTCACCTGGCTGAGTCACAGCACATGACCCCTGACAAATCCATTACTGTCTGTCAGCCAAGTGTCACTGCTGCTGTTTCATTCGAATAATTAACACTGAAATTTAGAACATGTGAGTAACTTGGGTAAACATTCTTCATTGAGCCTAATAATGCATATTATTGCCCCAGTGATCAAGAGTATCATGAACCTTCTTAATCTGGTAATTGACAGTGACGAAGTTAATAATAAAATCATTAAGACAATATTTTATGGGGAATCTTCATCAGTACTCCACAACAACTTGCAATTGTAGCATGCTTTGGTCAGTGGAGTTAATCTCAATGAATACGTTTTGTTAACTTCATAGCTAAGCAGTTACAGCCCAAGGGAGCTATCCCATGTGAATCTGTAAGATAGCTTTAGAATAAAGTAACAGTAAGTCTATGTCATTTGCTTATTTTAGTTACAATTTTAAATTTCATCTAGGCATTCTCTCAATATCTGGTATCCTAAGAATCACTTTGGTTACAAAGTTCTGTATTCTGACTTCAGATAAAAAAAATAAATGAGAAAACTAGTTGTATGATTAGGGTTCTTACATCTGGGTCATGTTTAAAATACTTGCTTTTTTCCCTCATGGCTAAGTTCTTGCTTTATTTTTAAAGCAGCTTCTAAATTATTTGAGTCCAAGGATTATCTTACGTTTCTGTACAGTACCTATAAACACCTTTTTGTACAGTGCTGTTCCAGTAAGAGTGTTCATTGGTACTGCAAGAACAGTAAAGAGTAATAATAACGTCATATGCAGAATAAAGTGATAATGCCATTGCTGCAGTCAGAATTTCAAATCAGGTGTAATGACTGACAAGTTTAGTGAGCTGATCTGACACTGCATGGTTGTCTGTTGTTGTTTTTAAACAACCAGGCTCTGTATAATTAGGCTTAAAACAAATTATAACGGTTCATGGATATACACAGTCATTTTTCTTGGTTTTCTTCTTCACACAAAATCCGCAGAGAAGTAGCAGCATCTTTATTTTATCTGTTCTTCCACATCGCGTATAATAAAAAAGATTACAACTACATATGACTTGTTGTTTAAATATTAAAATCCCAAACTCTTGCTAGGTAGCTTTATTGTAATTGGTCACGTTAATTCAGACATAATTACTGTTTTATTCCTCAGCTAGGTCTGCATAAAGCTCTGTTTGGAAGGCCAAAAAATTTCTACATCTTGCTAAGTTCCACATCACAGATATGCTTGTGTGAAAGCAGATAGCAATTAAAAGACAGGAGGGAAGTAAGAAGGGAGAGAAGAGGAAAACAAGAGGATGAAAGTTTAATTTCTGTAATATGTTTAAGAGAATGTATCGTTACCTACCTCATGTGCTACATAATTTCTGTAGGGAAATAGAAGAAGTGATTGCAGAATACTGACTGTAAATTAAAAAACCAATATGGAGACAGCATTTCCAAAACAAGAAGGTGCTCAGGGAATGCAATGCTCTGAGTTTTAAACAGGTAGTGAGTGAGGGGGCTTCCTCTAAAAGTAGATGTGAAGAGCATTAAAATACAGATGGAAAACTGTTCACTTGTAGCAAGAGAGAAAACACAGAGAGACAATAAAACTGTTTTGAAAATAAAGGAGAAATAAAGGAACACTGGAAAATCAATGAATTTGTGCCATGAGGTCTGGCTGTTGACTGTTTTGCAGTCAGTTTGACTGTTCTGACCTGTGCTAGCAGTGCAGCCTGTGCCTTGGTTGGAGAACACTAAGAATTTTTTGAACTGTAGCCAGTTGCAAACTGCCCAGACAAGGCTGGCCACAGGTATGCCCTTTCTTACTCTCTGAGGTCAACCAAAAGGTAAACAGGTTAGTTTCCTGATCAGCCACACATACTGTTTTGATACACACCGAGGTAAAGGATGAGGCAGTTTCACACCTCTCAGAAATATTTGGCAGGGAGAGAACCAATAGTGCTGGCAATAAGCATCACTGATCTAATTCTGTACTGTTTACAGAGCAAGAAGCTGAGACACAACCGAGCATGGGAACGGTCAGACTTCAGTGCCTTCAAAGTAAGCTACAAAGCATCAGTGCATGTAATTACAAGTGAGGTTTCAGCTCAGGGCTGTAGCACCAAGCACTGCAGGAGACTGTTTAATATTCAGTATGCACATGCCTAAAAGTCACTGCACATGCTATCAGAATTTCAGCATCCTGCTGCCCATCAACAAGCAATGATTAGTTTTGATCAAAATCAATTTACATTGTGGATGAGAGATTTGGGAGGAAAGCTAGTATTTGATGCAAAGTGCAGAAGAAAAGGCAAAGATGCTGCTTTTTTGGACATCTGTCTGGACACTCCAGAGCAGATCTTCAATGAAACAGCTCTGAAAATGTGTATCCATCCCCAGATCTTTACAGAAGAACTTTTGAAATTATTCAGGACACATATGAATTCTTTCTTGTGTACAGATTTAGGAAGCAGCTTTCAATGTTTAATCCAGGCAAGAAGTAGATTAACTGCCTTCAGCTGAAGCCTTCCAGCTGACAAGCCTTTTCCTACGCACATGGCATTTGACATCTGCCATTTTAACATTTTGATATTTCTGTGAGAGACATTGTCCTGAAAGGTCACCGCGTGCCTCAGCAGTTGGCTAGTTGCCACTCAGGCTTAGGAAAACCAGCTCCACAGCTGTCATCAGAAATTACCATTTACACAGCTTAGTTTCATAGAAAATATGAATTTCTGATTTTTTTTTTCCTCCTGTGTATGAAGAAAAAGGGAGACGAGAGGAAGAGAAGTTCCAAAACCTCTTTTCAGTTGTGACAATGAAGATAAGCATTTCTAGGTATACGTCTGCAAAATGAAGCTGAAGTATAGCTTCAAGACAACAGGTAAGCAAAACATGTAACCTGTGTTACAACAGCATTAGGGACACAGTAGTAGTACTGTGAATACATTTAGTCCTTTCCTTACAAAGAACAATTCTCTTTCTAGTTGCTTAATGTCACCTGTTATCTGTTACAATGCATTTTTCACAAGGCTCACAAAAAGCCTACAGTATGCCTAAGAAATAACAAATCATGTAAACAAAGCAAGAAACATGACATGGCAACATGAACAAAGCTGCATCCTGTATTTCTCATGCAATTACCTGATATGCATACTTGTATGCTTGTTTTCAATAAGCAGATTTAATTCACAGCTTAAGAATTCATTACTCGTAAACTCCATGGGACAACGGTACCACAGAAATTTTGAATCAGAAAGGAATGATACTGTTTCTTCCTTAGCAAGAGATAAAAAAAAAAAACACCCTCAAATGCTGATTCTTTTCATTATGGTATTGCCACAGCACTAAGAAACCTGCAACTCCGTTCCTTCCCAACCACCTCAGATAAACGTTCTCTTCACGTGTAAACAGAGTAAAATGGGTTAAAATCATGCACTGCTCACCGCGGTATGCTCATTGTTCTTAGCAGGTCAGATTTGTGCCCCTTACGATGATTATTTGTTTGCGTTTCCAATAATGAGGTACTGCTGAGATTCCTAATAAGAAGTCTGGTTCTGCATGTATGAATTTTTAATGATTCAATGTGAAAAATACCATCGTAGATTTCTCTCCTGCATGTTCACAAGAAGCTTATTAATGTTGAAGTTTCTTTCTCACTGCGTATCTAGTATTACCTAATATAAGCTGAAAACAATCTATCTAGAAGCACCTCCTGCATTTACGAGGCTTCTCCACTCACAAAGTGGCAAGCAGACTCCCCCAGATCAACAAACACAACTGCAAACTGTTTCTTCCGGAAAGCTTTCATACATCCCTTTTTCTCAGCAGACTCTCCACTGAAAGCCAAAACAATACTGCAGAGAAGCGTTCACTCTCAGGATGTTTTCAGCTTTCATCCCTCTGCTTTTCCAAGCTGAACACAAAGGTAGAAATCCCAATTAGCAATCAAAGCACTGCACAGGAAAAGAATACTTACATTTGCCTCAGTATTTTTAATACTTGCACACCATTCCAGCAACTGGTGATTACGAGAAGGAGTTTTTTAGTCTGCCTTTCAAGTCTCGTAGCAATGAAAGGAAGGCTGATATCTGAAAGCTACTCATTTTCTACATGCTGTGCTCTGCTTGCTTCCCATGCGCATGCAACACAGCTGCCAGATTTAATGACCATATCAGCCTGCTTTCCCCATAAAGCAGCACAGAGATGACAGGATGAAGATGAAGTAGCCAGTACGTTAATCTGTAGCTATGGCCACATTAAGCCTTAAATGTATGTCATCATTTTATTGCTCTTGCAGGAAAAAAAAAAAAAAAACCAAAAAAACCCCACCAAACTAATCAACACTACTTGCAAATAAACATGCAAAAGGATTTCAGAAATATGAATCCATACTTGCCTTCAGTGACACTGAAGTACATTAAAGAAACGGCTCCTTTTTTGTCAATTAACAAATCCTAGGACTTAATTCCTTTTCAAGACACCCTGACCATCATACATTTCGCCAAGCTGCACGTGCTTGTACCCAAAAAGAACAAAACCATTATCTGACAAATTAGCCAAGACTCCTCTTCGGAAGGAATTATGTCCATACCTGTCCTTGCTGACTTCTTTCAGAAAAGCAGAGTTAATAAAAAGGGGAAATTCCCATTTACCATTTAAATCCTTCCACGCACTGTGGCTCCTCTAGCTCTGGACTTTCTTATCAGATGCGGTCACTTCACTGCCAACATGGAGCATTTCCATACCTCCATCCACACAACGAGATCCAAGGAAGGAAGGGGCAGGCAGAGTTTACGTGCCAAGAGAAGGTGCCAGTCACACGGTCCAAACCAACGAATTGAAAATCAACCCAGAAATGGATAGCTGGATTTGTAACGATGCAGTGTCCCTGCGGAGATCTTACGACATCTGTGCGTGCCTCTCTCTCATTTATATTCCCTTCAGTGCCCCCGGAGGCACCTGTCTCAGCGGGGAGTGGTTTCTGTGGAAACAACTGCTGCTCGGTTTTCCCCTTGGAGAAAGTGTTACTATGGCAACCTTATGTAATGTATATGGCCTAGATTCTTTGTCATAATAAGGTGATGCCGAAGTTCTCACTATAAAATTGGAGCGGATTTGTCTTAGGGGCAAGAAACGTAATTTTATCTAAATGTAAAATACAGCACAAATTATATTGCAGATTAGATGAGAGGGCGGGGGGCACTGTCAGAGAACCACTCACAAAAACAAAAACAAACAAAAACAAAAAAACCTTCTGAATTCCAGTAAACAAGATCCATTTATTTTGTATTTGTGGGAAGTGAGGAGGAAGGAAGACATTCAGCTGACATCAGGTCTCAGGACAGCAATCAATATTGCATATTGAAGTGCAAAGGAATTTTTCAGCTTATTCTTCCAGCAACAAGGATCTCGCTATGTCTACTCTGTTCAAAAATGAAGCATCAGCCTCACCATTGCTTATTACACGTTATGAAATGGTGCCACATTAAAACTTGAGGAACTTTCAGGAGCTGTAAGAGTCAGTGAGGCATAGCGTGCATCAGAGCAGAAGCAGAGAAGGCAAATTGCTGTTCACATGGCTTTCCTTTCAGCTGAGAGGAGACAAACCTATCCACAACCACAGCAGGGAGAGCAGATCTATCAGATCCTATGTGGGAGATAGTCCTAGGGCTGTGCACGCTGAGAAGAGCTCGCCCTCTAAGTCAGCAGTTGAAAAGCTGTGTGGCTGGGAATAACACGACGTGGTGGTCATGTAACAGATGGTTAGTGGCCCCTGTGGTAGGGGATGTGCCTTCCTGCCAGCTATGCCTGTAAACAGCTTTTTTATTGGTAGGAGGCATCACAAGTCAAATGGTTAAGAAATCAGAACACCTACTTACACAAAGAATATGACTTGAGTTTGAAGAATATTGCTGGGCAAGTTTAACCTGGCAGGTGCTAGGCACTACGTAGTCACTTGCTCATTTCCTTCACCTCCCAGTGGGATGAAGGAGAGATTCAGGAAAAAAAAAAAAAAAAAAAAAAAAAAGTAGAACTCGTGGGTTGAGATAAACCTTTTTTCTAAGATAGAGAAAAGGAAAAGAATTATGAATTTATATATATTTTTATGTACATACACATATAATTATGAATGTGTATGACAAGTGATGCACAAGCAATTGGTCACCACCCCCTGATCGATACCCAGTTAGCCCCTTGAGCTCAGAGAGCTCAGTGAGCTGCCACCACCTTCAAAACTCCTTCTGCACAATGTCATATGGCACAGAATATCCCTTTGGACAGTTTCAGTCAGCTCTTCTAGTTCTGTTCCCTCCCAGCTCCTTGGGCCCTTTGCTGAGAATGGCCTTGGCTCTGTACAACACTGCTTCACAGCAACTATAAATATCAGTGTATTATCAACATTGTTTTTCTCCTAGAGCCAAAACATAGCATTACACCAGTCTGAAGAAAACAATTCCATCTCAGCTGAAACTAAGACAGGAAACATGAATAAAATTCTACCTTGTGTGTTGAGTCTCAGTAGCTCACTATCTCTGCAGACCTGTTGATCTCACAACTTCTATTAGCATAACATGCGTTAATATACGTGGGCACTGATCTCCTCTGTATGTCCCCAAAAGACAAACGAGTAAACAGCCTGCCTACAGAATATTTCCCAAAATCTTTAAGATCCCCCTGCGCTGCACTGTGCAAAGGGGCATTCACTGTAGATGGGCAACATAGGCAGGAAGCATTGTTTAAAACCACACAGCTTTTACATTCCTGCCTTGTGTATGAGAACGATTCATGCTGCCTGAAGGCAAGGTGTTGATTGGGATTTTGCTTCTCCAAGCAGCTATTTAAGAACCAAGTCCAGGGTTTCACAAAAAAGGTGCCAGTGGCACAAGTAAGTGGCACATTCTTTAAGCCAAGCCCTCTGTGATGGGATTTCTCTAACTTGGAAAAGTTTACTTGTAAGTTAAAAAAGAAAACTCCTCAATGAATTGCTTTGAAAGCCCAAATATATGCAGAACACCCCCTTTAAGAATCATGCTGACAGTTAACTGTCTTTGCCAGAGGCAATGCATACAGATTATGTGTTCATCCTTTCTATCTGTGAAACTCAAGTGTTCAGTGAAGATGTGAGAGTACTAAACATTTTCTCTTCTTTCCTGAGAAAAGCAAAGGAATTTGGAGTAATGGTTAACTTAAACCGGGTTTGTGAAAATTCACCATCACCAGAACATTCTCTGCACCTTGCATGGTTGAAATTTTTATGATTTACTGCATATCTAGTCAGGAGTCAGGCCTATCAGATCTTTGAACCCCGCTTCTCACCTTCTATCCAGAGGACACATCAACCACAGTGTATTACAAACGATATTTTGATTTCTTAAAAAAAAAAGTTATATATTTTCATCAGCTTCTGAATTAATTTTACACACAAATTACATAGTAATTAGACAATGTGTACCGAAACACTGATTTAGTGTCCTAGGAAAGATAGCATACTCAAAAGAAAAGCAATAAAATGAAAAGACTCCATGATCAGATTAGAAAGAGCTAAGCTGACACCTAAATTCATGTTATTCTGGTATTTTGCAATGTAAAACATTGAACTTCAGAGAGTACACTGTACAAAGATAAGAGGGACAAACAGAGAAATGAATATGATAACAAAAGATGGTAAAGAAATGAACTTTTTTTTCTTTTAAGGCAAACATTTAACACAAAACGAGAAAGCTCAACTAATTCTCATAGCTGCACCAATTCTCCCAGCATGGATTATCACAGAATCACAGAATCACCCGGGTTGGAAGGGACCTCAAGGATCATGTAGTTCCAACCCCCCTGCCTAGCAGGGCCACCAAACACACACATTCAGATCAGGTTGCCCAGGACCCCGTCCAATCTGGCCTTAAACACATCCAAGGACGGGGCATCCACAACCTCCCTGGGCAGCCCGTTCCAGGGCCTAACCACTCTCCTTGTAAAGAACTTCCCCCTAACATCCAACCTAAATCTTCCCTCCTTCAACTTGGATCCATTTCCCCTAGTCCTGCTGTTGTCAGCCCTTTTGAAGAGTTTACTCCCCTCGTGGGTGTAGGTTCCCTTCAGGTATTGATAGGCTGCAATGAGGTCACCCCGCAGCCTTCTCTTCTCCAGGCTGAACAAGCCCAACTCCCTCAGCCTGTCCTCATAGGGGAGGTGCTCCAGCCCCCTGATCATCTTAGTCGCCCTCCTCTGGACCCTTTCCAAAATCTCAATGTCTTTCTTGTACTGAGGGCTCCACACCTGGACACAGTACTCCAGATGGGGCCTCACAAGAGCCGAGTAGAGAGGGACGATCACCTCCCTGTCCCTGCTGACCACCCCTCTCCTGATGGAGCCCAGGATCCCATTTGCCTTTCGAGCTGCTTAAGCACAATAACAGCTGACATGGTTATATGATTTTTAGGCCAAGTTAAGTAACATCTTGTCAGCTTAGTATGGAGGAAATCCATCCCCACTTAACTATGCGAATATTCAATTCATGATCGCTTGCTGCTTCTTCAAGCATGCTTAGGGTGTAAAGGCATTAGGGGCATAAGTCAGCATCTCACTACTACCAGTGCAGTTCCAGTAAGCCTGAGAAGGAACTTTGCAGCACTTACATTTCTTATCCTAAATTCTGTCTTTAGCCACCTGGGGATTTCAAGTTACACAGATTTCTGATCTCACTAAGTGACTTGGCTGGGATACTGCTGTGAAGGCAGTTAGACTAACAAAAGACAGATCTGCATATACAGCAGGACTCAGCCCCGCAGAGATGCAGCTATAACTAGTGAACTTGCTGTTGAATTTCCTTCCAGCACAGAGTTAGCTCACACCAGGAGTACAAGCTTCTCTGGATATCTCAGCATGCTCAATAACAGTCTCTCAGAGAATAGGCTCAGAAAACATGTAATTGAGGTATTATGACCAGGACATGGTTTGGCATATGCCAATGAACATTCTAGCAATCCTACAGCTCAGAAAGGCAGACTTCCAGGGGTTGTCCAAAATGGTATACCAGCAGTATTTATTATACATTTCCTATACCTTTCCCCATGTCGTTACATTAGCCCTATGAAAAAATATATTAGTAACACAATATTACAGATGGCCTTGTTCAAAGGTAGAGAGAAGTGTGAATAGAAACATTGTACAATATTAAATTCCTTTTTTGCACATGCCACCTCAATACACTTCATGCTAGGCTTTTACATAGATAAGCTACATTTAATTCCAGAATATTGACCATTTACCAGATTTGTACTACTTTTCATACTGCAGTTTCTTTCCTCCCATAATCCTCTTATAGAGAAAAGTGCCTTCTTTCTGTTTTCTTGCACTGACATGATTTGGATGGGGAAAAATTTTTAGCAGAAAAAAAAAGGGTGAGACAGATTAACAAAGAAACAGGCAGGATTGTCAGGGTGTTGGTTTCTAACCATACCTACCAGCTGCAGATCCCCTTCTCAGGAGTTTTGTGCTTAAGCAATTCACAGGAACCACACACAAAAGCCACCGCATTAGCAGAGAGCTGTGTAATGTAGCTAATGGAGAATGCCAAGAAATCTTAACATCTCTCCATGAACTTTGTATCCTCATCTGGGTTACAAGTATCTCCTGCTTGCTCCAATGGCGTTCAAAGGTATCCATTATCTTGAATTCACTGCCTATGCCTTCATGTACTCCTCACAAAGGCTGATGGGCAAACAGACAGGAGGGAACTTCAGTACTTAAATATTCAACTCTCCTAGCATTCAGATTAAAATGTAACCAACATTCTCTTTTTAAAATGAGATCTTTCCAGGTTATTCTAAGATAGGAAACTTTCTGAAGCTGCTGTCCTGTTATTAGCAAATAATGAAGCAAGTGAAGGAGGGAACAGAGACTGTGCAGCTGGACTGTTGGTTAAAGCACTAACAGAAAGTCGTGTGCCTGCTTCAGATATTGGCTGTTCATCAAGAGTAGAGCCAAGAGTACATCCCTGATGGTAAAAGCAATTTTGGGGGGTTTCAAAAGGTGCTTTATGACCTGGGAATAACTGCTTTTAGAGAATACAGGCACAGTGTCTTCTGTGCTGGTTCAGATGTGTACAGGTAAAAGAGATTCTCTTTTGCTGCTGTGAACATCTCCAGACACCTAGCGGGTTTCAAAGTCTTATATTTCTTATGTTTCTTCCTGAAGTGCTACAGTGACTGCCAAGTACTTGAGGCCACATCTACAGCATGGGAACAGATGCATCTTGAGCTGGCAGCGATCTGCATACTGCTTCATAAACCTGCAATGCTGGGGAGTTGAGTGCAGTAACAGAGACGCTCTTGCTCTGTGCATGGTCATTAAAAAGCTGCAGAACTGTGCAAGAAGTTTCATTCTATTGTGGGACTTTTCCAGATCATGGGTTCATGAACACTATCTTACTCCTGAGAGCTGGTAGGTCCTGCATCTGATCTCAGTCCCTGCATGGATCTTGCCTGAGTTCAGCCACGGAAATGGTCATCATAGGGGTTAAAATGAATCTGATTTCATCCAGCCTAGAACACACAGGATACACATCAAAGGTGGATTTCTGTCTGAGTTCCTCATGGATTTCAATTTCAATCAACAGCTGCAGGCCTATTTTTTCCTTGTTTTAGAAGCAGAAATCATGGCCAAGGCTCTGGCAGCCAGGCCAGCAAATAGTGACAAGTAGTGTAAACTGATCTGGCAGGCTTCATTAAGGGCCGATTAAAAACCAGCAATCCCCAAGGTTTTTGTGATACGAGTGCATGTGAATTACTCACTCCCTAGGGTGAGATGCAGAGATAATGTTCAACTGCCCGGAGAGTGGAACAAAGACTACTGTGTGAAATTACATGTTGTGACAGCATAACATGCAAAATTCCATCCCCCAACAAGGCTCTTCCTCTCAAAAAAAAAAACCTTGATTACCTAAAAACAAGTCAGCCTATTCCCAAGGGAGCTGAATGACATAGAAAATTCAAGACACCTGCATAAGGTTTAAGCACAAACTCAACATCTGAGCCCTGAACTCAGGATGTTTTGCTTTTTTTCCAATACAAAGTCCATAATTCTCCCAATTTTTAGATTTTACTTTTTTTTTTTCACCAAGAAATATTTGACAATGGACTTCCCTTACTGGGTCAAGTAGTATTATATCAGAATGCCAATAATAAGGGTTCTCTGATTTTTTTGTTCTTGGTGCAAGGTTTTCTTGCCTTGTGCCTAAAACAGCCTTATAGTTCTACTATTAGCTTGCAACCTGATGGTTTTCTTTGCTCCACAGGGTGATGGATCCAGAGTTTCTAACCAAAGACTGCAGGATAATATTTCCCTTTTCAATCCAAAATGCTTAGATCACTAGACCAGACAAAAGGTTCCAATCCCAACTATTGCCACTTCACACTCTGTTTTACTTGATTCTTTCTGTACTCATTTTTTGCAAATTAAATTTGCAAATTAAATATGGAATTGAATGTTTTACACTGATTTATTTTTTTAAAGCCACGCAACATCAAGAGCAGTATCTTAGCTAGTGATCTTGATCTGATTTGTAGGCACAGAGTGGATACAGTAGAAAGAAGCTGCACTGAGTTCATACAGCTCAAGTAGAGGAAGCTACATTAAGGTAACAACAAACAGAAGAGTAAGATTTGCCATTTACCACCTGAAATTGTAGAGTTCTAGTGCCCATCCATGCTTCACTACTTTATCTAGAGAGTCAGGAAAAGCAGATACATAACCATTAACATTATAATTGAAAAGTGGGAAACAATTCTGCAAGATTCCACAAGAGAGGATTCCTAGTTCAGTCAGACAACTGTCCAAGTTTCCTTCTTTCTCTGGATTGTATCTATGAGCAGAAGTTCAGAAGACAAAAAAAGAACTGTTGAAGTTGTCTCATACTCAGAGATCACCACATCTAAGAGGCAGAGCAGAGCTTCTTAGCTGTCTCACAATTTTCGCCTCATCTAAGACTCTTCCACTGTTGCAGGTTCTGCATTTTACATCCATTCAGGATTTCAAACACATCTGGAAATGCTTTAATGAGATTATATCTAATGAGCACTGTACACTGTACACCATGCCATTTGCAAGGGTCTACCCAGCATTTAATCCTTTTCAGACCAGGAGCTAGAAGAATAAGAGATCATTAATTTAAGCTCTTTTGCTTAATTGAGTCTGCATGGGCATCATTTCTCTCCTTTAGACTTTACAGAAGTCATCTTCCATGCACAAATTGTTCTTTGATTTCTGAAAGTTAGAGCTTGGTGAGAAGGAATCAAAGGTGTGAGCCTTTTCTTGCTATCATTTTCCCTACATAACTTAGAGATTGATTTAGACAGATCTCAGATAATCCCAGTGCCCGAAACTAATCTTTTAACTCTAGGAGTTATAAACTCTCTCCTGTTCTTAGGCTGACATTGAAACCACAGAATAGAAAACAACTCCTTGGTTTTGCAGCGTAATGCTCTCACATCTGGATGAGCATTTCCAGCAATATATCCTTCATTACGAAGCCTGAGAACTGAAAAATATCACTACTTGTTTTGGCCTCTGAATACAGTCCTGTCACAACAGATGACATTCAAATGGGAATCCTGAGTTGAAAAACATCAATAGGTGACTTTCAGCAATGCTTTTGCTCTTAAAAGCAAGGATGAAATCCTGTGCTCACTGTTTTCTATTGGCTATTTCTATGCTGAGCATTAACGTTTCTCACCGACCCCCCCCAGGGTAGTTAATTCTGAGCTTCATGTGTTGGGACTGAATGCAATACTCACAGTATTGTAGTGCAGAACTGGAATTCTTCAAGTAAATATTCCATACGTAAAGGCACTACATCTGTATCATAACACTTCAAGTTGTTAGTCTTATTTCTAAGCAAATTCACAGTAGCATCTCAGGGTGTACAGAGGAACCCCATCTGATTCAAAAATTCTCCCCAGTTCCTGCATTCACTGAGTACTGCCAAGTTCCAGCTTTCTCAGCTCAGATGTAGTACCACGTGCATCTAAGCATTTCTTTTCTAGGGATACAATATCATAAGTGATTCAAACATTATCTATCTCTTGTGTCAAATAAGCTTTCCCAAGTACTGCTACAATCAGCAGTGTAGCCAAGCAAGCAATTAATTTAACATAACTTATTACAGACAAAATGGGATTTAAATTTTGTTGTTGACTTGCGAGTAAAGCAAGTAAATAGTTTCTTTTCTTTAGTGTCAGCACCTTACTTGATTTGTATTTCCACAAAACAAAATTAGTAGGGAAAAGCCCACAGTTCTCAGCTAACTGCCTGTCATCAACGTCTGTTTGGGCACTTAGTGCACAGCGTGTTTACTCCTTTTTAATTAAGGGAACTCTAGTATAGTTTTCCACATAGGCATCGTTTTCTTGCTATGAACAACTTGCACCACACATAAAATAATTTCAAATTAATATTATCTAGTAAATACTTAGACCTAATTAATCTTGTTGCTTTAATTTTATCAGTTGCTTCTTTTAGACCTCATTGAAAGCAAGACGGAGGATGATGAAGACCTTTTCAGTTCATACTCTCCCAGATCCTTAGACCTTAATTAAAGCCTTCACTACACATGTCCATTCTGGTACCAGCTGACTCCATACCTGCAATAAAGCTAATTAAACCTGGCTATCAGGACCATATTCAGAATTACCGATTAACAGTACCCAAAACAAAACCAGTAGCAAAGCCCTCCCCCCAGAAAATAAAACAAAAACGTAAAACCAAAATCAGCTACAAAATGAAGGAGTCCGGTGCTGGGCCACGGCTCCGGCCACGGTGCAGAGGGCCGGGGGTCTCATAGCAGCCCCCTGCAGGAGCACCTCTTCGTGTCCTCGGGGCTGGGAGATCATAACCACTGCCAGATAAACAGCTGGCTGTTGTGATCCCAAGTATGGACTTCTACCCTTCTTTTGTGGAGGGCTAAAAGACACAGTTTTATGGATTCTCTTCATCCCTTGCATAAACACAAACAATGGATGCATGGCAACTACCCTGTGTTGCTGGGCTGCTTGGAATAGAAATTGTACTACCATCTTTTGACTGTTAGGAGAACTACACCTTTAGAGTATCTCCCTCCTCTATTAAGTCACTACATTAAGTAACCTCCTTTAATCCAGTGAATGAAACAAAAATGCATTTTGATACAGTGACAAAAGACATCCAGCACAGTCAATGAGCTGAGTCTCTTATGAAAAGCAGTCTGGTTTGAATGTACCCACAAGAAGGTCTGTGATTTTGGATAATTGCATTACACTCAAGAGAAGAACCCTAGTCTTAAATGAGTCAGCTATGATGCATCTACATCTACTTCCTTTATCTTACTAAATTGCTTGCAATCAGTGCCACTGTTACAGATCCATGCTTTTCTCCAGAATTCTGTGAGAAGTAGATTGTATTTCTGCAGTGGAAACTTCCAGTATTTCTGTACATAGCACAGGATACTTTGCCTTTCACAAAGAAAGTTGCTGAACAGAGTAAAGTTGAGACTGGGGTGTTCTGACCTAGGTAAAATTGGCACAGGCACTAGGTAACTGGATTGTTGAAAATATTGTCCTTCTATCACTGCACAAAGTACGGAACGTACCCAAAAACAATGGGTTGGTGACAGACATTGTATGGAAGAGTGATGTAGCAACAGCAAAAGATTGTGAGCCTGAGACGCTCAACCAATGAGTGCCAGGAGAGGCTTTACCTGTGTCGGACCCGGCGTATGTAACAGAATAGATTCCACTGATCAGATTTGCAATTCCTCCCTTCAGTAGGAGGTTGCACCCATTATTGCAATAATGAATAAACTGCTCTTCACAGAGATTTTTGCCTGATCAGAAATTTTTGATCTTGAGCGTGTTTCTCACAATTTCCAGTCTGTGTGACTGCAACAGTGTTCAGATCTCAAACATATCAGTAGTGTTGACTACAGACTCTCCAAGTTTCAGCGAGAAGATTTGTACCTAGACCAACTTAGAAGTGATAGGACAGTACTACTTTCTGAAATGCACAGTAATCTATACCAAATTATTTGTAGAGAGAAGGTGTCATGTGCAATTAATTGTCCTTGTTAAAAGTCTTAGCACCCTGAAAAAAGACCACTGGCATTTAGGGTGCCATTACAGGCCAGGGCAGGCACAGAGGTCAGAGTCACAGTTAGCTGAGAGCTTCAGTTCTCAGCTTGTCTGGGCAGGGGGGGAAAAGGAGTCACACAACCAAGCACTGGTAGCACAGCTCTTCAAACAGCAGTAACCCATATGAAAAACAGGTTTCAGAAAAGAGCTCAGGAGCTCATTGTGTTCTTAACATTGGGTTCTAACTGACTGTGCTTTCTCCAACACAGGTGCATTTAAGCCTTTTTTTTTTTTTTTTTTCCTCTTGGGCCAAAGCTGCTGTCCTGGTCTAATTATCACAAGCTCAAACAAAAGCTCAAACCAACAGATCAGTCAACACAAACATGGTAATTGCTCAACACCAACACTTCTGAATGAATATTTTAAAAGTCTATTTGATGACTTAAGTCATATTTATCACACAACAGTTTTTTGTTCCTCTATCAGTCCACTCAGATTTGACCACGTTATTTTTAGCAAATAAGACCCGGGATAAAAAAGGAAGTCCCATTTTACTGTACTGAATACTGTACTACCCAAGAACTGCAGCTAGCTACTTGCAGTTTACTATCAGGTCTGAAATCAGCTTACACTGACAGGAAGAGAAATTGAGGTTCTCACATTAACCTGTCAGCTTCTTCCTCACCAAAGCACTGCAGCTTCAGGGTTGAACAGTCTTTAGTCATAAATACCAACAGCTCTGCAAACATCTGCATAACGAATCATCATCTACCCTCCCATGTTTTCTGTCACCACTGAAGTTTGAGGAAAAATTCCTGACTAGATCTGTTTGTTTGCTTCACTGCAAAATGACTCTTTTGAAAAAAAAAACTAGCATCTTTTTGTTGTTGTTACACACAAACAGAATGGAGCAGCCTGGTTCTTCGCATAATCAGCTGTCCAGTAGAACCATTTTCCTCCATTTTCAGTGGACTTCTTTTTTTAAACTTCTAGATCCCTAAAGATGACTTTCGAATTTGTTTTTATTCACCAGTTTGAAGCAGTTGCACAAAGCAAGACAGGGCAAAGTTACCTCAGCACAAACTGCTTTCACAACCAGCCTAGGCCAGTACACGGAAATACCCCATGATGGCTTTCCTGCACTGCTAGATATGGCATGTAATGGGGACAAATCTTTCTTATGTATTTTTAAAGGCCAAATTTTAGCCTGCTCTCCATTTCAATTCTGTTCACACAAGTGAAACTTACCGAAGAGCAATTGAACTAGAGGCTGAGATTCACACAAGTCACCTGTCAGCCCTTTCAAGCTCTTTTTTCTCTACAGCAGGTAGCTTCACACCATTCTGACTCAAGGTAAGGGCTTTGATGCACAGAACAAACAAATAAATAGAAGTGTGTGTAGAAAGGCCCATCTGTAGGTCAGGAAAAAAAGATAAGCTTCAAGAAAAGAATCCATGGCCTAGAGGTGGGTCCCACATTCTCATTTACAAAACATTACAGCCTTGATCCATAATCTATGCCCTTTTAATCCTGCTCTTGTATCCCTGAGGAATAGTTATCCTTTGTCTCTCTTAGAGTTGGAGCTGTGAATGTAGGGAGATCAAATCTTTGTAAAATGCTTCACCCATGTGTGGCAGTATTACAAAGGCAGCTTTCCATGACTGTATTTTTCTATGGGAGCAGTATTCTTTTCCCCAAGCAGCAAACATTTGCCAATTAACTCTTATCGTTATAAAACACTTGGAGGTCTTGGACTGCATACAAGAAAGAAACCCAGAAAGTAAAAGCACACACACAGATAAAAACATTTGCCAAAAAATCCTCCTATAAACTTTCATTACAAAAATTAAACATTTATTTAGACCTGTGGGACCAAATGCTGCTTATACATTATTACAAACATTATAAAACAATGAGTTAGTCACACAGCATTCCTTCCTCTGCAACAAGCCAGCTAAAGGTTGTGCTCAAAAAGATGTCTGTTTAACCTGACATGGGTGCACATACAAGACAAACACGAGAGTGGATGGAAGAATGAAGACAAGAGAAGATTTTGTAAGAATCTAGGCAAAATCCAGCTAAGATAATAGTGGGAAGAGTTCTTCTCTTAAGAAGAACTAGTTCTCATTTCAAATTAGAATAGTAAAATTGATCGATAATAATGTGAGATTGAAATGCAAATGGAAAGACATGCAACGGAAATAGACAATCCTATCTTGTTACACATGCATTATTTGAGGAAGGAAAGAAACTGAGCTCAAATCTATGCTTTGCTGCTCACAGCATTTGCTGTCTGGCAAATACACATGAACTGTGTGAAAATGTTTAGGGATTTGACATTCATTGGTAAGGAGGAAGCTCATCCTCTGCACTCCTTGCAGTTGCTGACAGTCAGCCAACACGCCCCTACTCAGGTGTCAGTGGTCTAAATGACGACCATACCCTCACTGACAGCTTAATCCCAGGAAATCTCTGTTGAATTATTAGCTGAGGCTCCAACATCCACAACTGCACACTGCTCCTCAAGCAAACTGAAGATTTCCTAGTTTCCAATTCAGGCAGGGAGGATTCTGCAACCATTAAACTCTGCTCAAAAGTCCAAACTTACTTTCAGTACAGGATTTTTTTAAACATATTCACCACCAGTATAAGGCCTCAGTCAAAGGAACAAAGTGTCCAGTCCTTCAGGTGATTAGAACTGGGTTGTGTCCATAACAATTAATAACTGCTGCAAAATGCCACCTAGACCTTGAAGGAAAGTATTAAAAACACAAGAAAATGTTGCAACAGTACTTCATCCTTCATTACTTCAGTACTTCATTAAAGGCTGGATGCTGTATTGAGGGACATGGTTTAGTGGGAGCTATTGGGAATAGGTGAACGGTTGGACTGGATGATCTTGAAGGTCTTTTCCAACCTTGGTGATTCTATGATTCTATGATCCTCCCCTCTTCTGGCTGGAAAGGTGGCCTGTTCACCATTCAGTCTCTTACAGATACAATCATTTATATAAGAAAGGAAAACTTGTTTTTAACTCATTTGCCTGTATTACCAAGTGCTTTTTTTAGTCCAGTAGCTAGATGTCTATTTGTAGGCTGCTAAGTGATGTACATTGAGTATATGCTGTGTGCAGCTCTTGCAAATTTTATATGCTGGCTGCACAGAGAATGAATGCACGCTGATGATGCTCCAATAGCAACAAACCCAATTACCTAAGCCACTAACTCCCAGTAAGGAAGCAGAAATACAGCTGTTACTTCACTACCTTAAAGAAACATTTGCTGTTTTGATCTCAGACTACTGTACGGTGAAATAAGTGACAGATTTATATTAGTGAAGAACTGGCCTATAAGTTGAAATCACTTCTTTTAATAATTGTTAATTTCTTGTACTCCAGAGCTTGTATTCCAGAGCACCCCAAATGCAGGAAAGCAGACAAGAATCCAGCTACTTGATGCATGTGAGTAACTTATGAGATGGAGCCACAGGGATGAAAAGTCTGGGGAAAAACAAATTTCAGATTTGAAACCAAGGACATTTCTGAGTCATCCTGCAGTAAAAAACTGAGTCCTGTCACACACAGCCAGAATGAATTTGGTGTAAGGAACAGGTGAGAATGACTGCAGAGGAATTACTTCATAAAAAGATTTTGGTCGTAAGCAATGTGCGGAGGTCAGCTAGCCCAAACACCTTTTCTACACAGTGCTAACTTCAGATTTTGAGACCCTGGGCCTTGTCTCTCTGAGTTCCAGTGTTCAAGATCTGCTTTGAAAGTAATGACTCCCATTTTAGAGTGGTGGGCCTGTACACGTACAAGAACAAGATGACATTATCACTGCAGGAAACAGCTGCAGTTCTACAGACTGAGGGCAGTTAGAAATTTAGCCGAGAGCCTCACTTAATAAGTTCATATTGCATTTCAGGGCTCACATGCACATGTCATTTTCTGACATCACTGCATAATTCTGCATCCACAAAATTGCTGAGTCTGTACATAAGGGAAGAACTTAAAGCTGGGACTGGGAAAACAGGAAAATCAGAGGAAGATCAGAGGAAGATGAAGAACAAGCTTGTTCTTCAGTTCACTGAGTATGTACCCTACAAAATACTTCTTCCTGTCATGAGTGGCAGATAAAGTCTCACACTGCATCACAGAATTAATTAATCACTTAATTATCATAGAAACATTAGGGTTGGAAAAGATCTCTAACATCATCTAGTCCAATCATCACCTACAACCAACGCTATCCATTAAATCCTGCTCCTTACTATCACATCCACACATTTCTTTAACACCTCCAGGGACAGTGACTCAACCATGTGCCTGGGCACCTGCTAGCACAACTCGAGGCCATTTCCTCTAGTTCTATTGCTAGTTACCCAGGAGAACCAACCCCCACCGTGCCACAACCTCCTCTCAAGGAGCTGTAGAGAACAATAAGGTCCCCTGAGATTTCTCTTCTGCAAACTGAACAATCCTAGTTTCCTCAGCCACCCCTCACAAGGCTTGTGCTCCAGTCCCTTCACCAGCCTTATTGCTCTTCTCTGAACACACTTCAGACCTTGATGTCTTCCTTGTAATAAAGACTTTGTAGTAAAGAACACAGTACTCAAGATGCAGCCTCATGAGAGCTGAGTACAAGAGGCCAATCATCTCCCTATTCCTGCTGGCTCTGCTGTTTCTGATACAAGCCAGGAAGCCAGTGGCCTTCTTCAGTTAACCAGGCACATTGCTGGCTCACGTTCAGCTGACCTGAGGGTACTGGTTGATGCTCTTTTTCCTCTGCACAGTCATCCAGCCACTCTGCCTAAAGCCTGTAGCACTGTGCAGGATTGTTGCAGCCAAAGTGCAGGACCTGGCACTTGGTCTTATTGAACTTCACCCATCGGCCTCCACCCAATGATTCAGCCGGTCCAGATCCCTCTGTATGGCCTTCCTAACCTCAGGAAGTTGGATAATTCCTCCCAACTTGGTGTCATCTGCATATTTACTAAGGGTGCATTCAATCTCTTCATCAATAAAGATACTTAACAGGATAGGACCCAGTACTGACCCCTGGGGATCACCACTCATGATCAGTCACCGGATTTAACTCCATTCACCATCACTCCCAGTAATCCACCTGTGCTACTGGAAGGGCTGGAGCCTTGCTCCATCTCTCCTAGACCCCATTTAAGAGCTGACTGCCACTGAGGAAGGATCTCTTCCTGGAGATCACTCCTCATGGAGAACACTGTGAGCCTACAACATCAGTAAGCATTTTCCACTTATTATCTTTCTATTACAATAATCCTACTTAGCCTAAAAATCTGTATGCCAATTGATTTTACACCTCTGTACGCTCACTGATTGTACACCTGATTGTTTCATAAATGCCTCATGATCTCACTCAAGACGATCTGTTCCATAAACTTTGCCAGCACTGAGTTCTTGGCTGACAGGCCTGTAGTTCATCGAGTCCTTCTTATGACCCTCCTTGCAGATGGGAGCCATGCTGGCAAGCCTCTAGTCCTCTGAGGTTGACCAGGAATGCTGACTGATGGTAGAAAACTGTGGGAATACAAGAAAAACTGTTCAGAGTAGCAGCTGTGGAGCAAGATAAAGTTATAGGAGCAAGGGAAAGTTGTAGGGGTGGATGTGAAAGATAGAAAAAGAAAACTTGTGAAGGTATATAAGTGATGTGAGAACTTGTAATAAATGATTTGGATCGTTCATATCTGAGTCCGTGCATCAGGTGCTGCAAAAGGTGCCCACTGCAGGGGGCAAACCAAGCCGAGGCTGAGTGAGCCCGGCGCGGCACCGCCACCTGGTTGAACGACGGAGAGATTGGCGCCCGCAGCGTTCTGCAGGACAGAAGGCGAGCGGTTGGGAACGATGGGCAGTTCGCTAACGATGCAGCAGCAAGGAAATCTTGCAGCATTATGGTTAGCTTTAACGTTTCAGAATCAGCCTGTATCTACCTCAGCATTAGCTACTTTTCTCAAATGGATAAGCAAAAACGTCCCTGAATTTGGATTCTCCTTTGATGGAGAGCTTTGGGACAAAACTGACGTAAAACTCCGCGAGGCTTCTATTCCTATAGACAGAACGGCTGCTAGACTTTTACCCGCTTGGCACCGAATAACGGAAGGGCTTAAACAAATTCAACAAGGAAGAATTCCTTCCGACTATTCCCCATCGCCCGCCCGCCCGCCCTCCCATCCCCATCCCCATCCCCATCCCCATCCCCGCCACCGCCACCGCCACCGCCACCGCCACCGCCACCGCCCCTCGCTGCAGAAAGCAGCTCCGACCCCACCCCTAACCGCAGGGAAGAGAGATCGCAACCCCGCCTTTGCGGTTGCCCCTTGGCTCCGCTGCCGTCACTCGTCGCGCCGCTCCCGCCCTCCGCCCGGCCCACGTCGCTCGCCGCAATGCTGCCTTCCTCCGCGCCGCCTACGTCGCCGCCTGCTGCTGCGTCTCTGCAGCCTGCGTGTAACTTGGTTAAAGACAATAACGGGCCTGCATAAGGCCACGAGAACTTTCCTCCGAGAATGGGGGGGTTAGACACGTTACAGGCATTCCTCATTCTCCCATTGGACAAGCTATCACAGTCACTTCTCTCTTATTGGTACTCCGCACTGCCACTCTTCTAGGATCGCCCATTGGTCAGCGAGGAGGCGGGACCTTCCACTGAGTGCACATATTCCGCGGGGGGGTGCTCGGCTCTGCGCTGATTGGTTGTGCCGCCCCAAAGGGCATAAGCGATCTGCGTGTGTGTGGCGAAGCGGGAAGGGGTTGGGAGAAATGTTGCCTGGAGGCAATAGGGAGGCACTGGGAGTGTGTGCAAGGTGGGCTAGAGGATATCGGGGGTCACCGGCATGTAGTGGGACCACTGCAATAGGGAAACGGGAGTGAGTGGGATTTACTGAGAGCCGCTGGGAACGTGGGTGGGGATACTGGGAGGTGCTGGGATGGTGAAGGGTGGTTAATGGGAGGTAGCTGGGAGTCAGCAGGAGGCTCTAGCTCCGTGCGTTGGCTGCCCTGTCTATTCCCTGCTTCAAGTCAGATTTTCAAAGCTATGTACCACGGGTGTGGGTTTTCTTTACTGACCTTATCAGCACACTGCCCACCTTTTAGTATCAGCCAGGTGGAGTAATTTCCTTCTTGTCAAGAACTTCCTCCCAATGGAGTAACTGGCAGCTTCTGGAGAGCTGCTGTGATCAACAACTGGACCTAATATTTTCTGTGATTCTTCTTTTAATGGAGGAGACAAGTGACTGCACTGGTTCAAACGGGTGACCCAGCATGCTGCTGTTTGAGATTGGGCTACCCCGATTCAGGAATGCACGTCAGGGCTTGCACCCACCCCTATATATATATATATATATGTCCACATGATTTAAAAGGGGATTATAAACAGGAGGGAAATCAACTTTTTATTTGGGTAGGCAGTGATAGGACAAGGGGTTTTAAGCTCAAGGAGGGAAGGTTTAGAGTAGACATCTGGGGGAAGTTCTTTACACAGAGAGTGGTGAGGTGCGGAATCAGGCTGCCCAGAGAGGTTGTGGATGCACTGTCCCTGGAGGTGTTCAAGACCTAGTTGAATAGGGCTCTGGGCAACCTACCTAGTACCAGATTTGGAGGTTGGTTGCCCTGCCTGTGACTTGGGGGTTGGAACTTGGTGATCCTTGGTGTCCCTTTGAACCCAAGCCATTCTATGACTCTATAATTCTGTGACCTGCTAATTGTACTTTCAGTGGTGCTTTTTTTCCTTTTGATCCTAGTGCTGTGAATTTCCCAGTGGTTGTTGAGACTAAGGTAATCATAAATACAGGTTTTAGCATTATCATTTCTAGGAACAGAAAATGCCCAATAGCTGATCACATCACAACAGAAGTTAATATGCTGATATTGAAGAGTGGCAGTTTTGTTCCCTTCACTGCTTAACTAATTTTGCTCTGAAGTACAGAGCAAAGGATGTGTGAACTGTTTTGGAGCTGCGTGCCTGCTTGCATACTGTGGCAGTGAGCACTGCAGAGAACTTTATAATGTGCAGCAGCTCACGACACAGAAGATAACTGTGAACTTCCTGTCTGTTTCCTTCTTAGACGACACCAGGCCCTACCATAAACTCCATGAAAATGATGAGAATGACTTCCAAGGCTGTGAGTTGTGGCTGATGAGAGAAGCTAAGAAGAGCAATCTCAAAACTAATTGGTAAACTAATCCAAGCCTTCAGATTTATGTATTTTTTTCTAACTAATATGTCTGACCCTTAGTTGTTTTAGTGGACCAATGTTTTTATGTTGCACTGCACAAGGTAGAGAATCCTTAGGATTTGATACGCTTACATTGATGCTGCTCTCAAACAGACTGTTTTTGCTTTATATTCTGGGCAATGACTTTCTTATGATTTGCTCATGTCAAATGACATTAATGCTTAGACTTAATCACAGTGATGAATATAAATGATTTATTATGAGGGCTGCATTTCTGAATAATAAAAAGTTTGCTGTCTACAGTAAAGCTTCTGTATGGTTCCCATCCTACTAGGAAAGTCTGAAGCTTTCTGTTGTAATATGGGAGGTGTATACGATGTGCATCTCTGCAGGAGTGTTTCCCTTTGTTTTGCTGACTGTTTTTGTCAGTGTCAGTCTTGCGCTCTGGGGAGCACATGGATGCTTGAGAAATTGAACTTGGAGAGGGTGTGGGGTGTAAGATGTGTACTTGAGAGGAGTTTTTGCCCTGCAGTGCTTTTAGAGTTGAATGTAAGTTCTACGTATGAAGTATTTAAATAATATCTTGTTTCTCTGTTGTTATTGACATTCCCTATGACCATGTCTTGAAGAGAAATAGTGGAGAAAAACATTTCTAACAAGCTGTAGAGCCATTGTTAATATGTAATATGTAACAAGGCTAACTGTTGTAGAGAGCTCTCACAGCATGAGTGTTCTTTTCAGCAAGACTACAGGCAGCAGTGGGCTTAAGAATGAGAGAAACAAGCGTCTGTCTTGAACTTTCATACAGAATTTTTTTCCTGGAGGGCTGATAAAACCAATCAGAGCTATTTCCTTTGGCAAACTGAAACTGAAGAGTTCAGTAATAGTTGTGAAAGATTTATTTATGTATATGTGTGATTACATACATTACAGTATGTGTTGATTATGTTTCAACACATACTGATTTCTTGAAATGGATTTTACTTTTTGCTTTATAGGTAAGGAATGAATGGGCATTTCACAGGAAATGGATCAAGATATGTCTCTCTCTTTTTTCTTCTCAAAAGTGAAAGTTTCTTTGTTATCACATGTGATTTGCTTGTCTGATTTTTCTCTAGAACAGAGACCTTAATCCTGTGAGTTCTGGTCCTGCCCATGGCAGGCTTTGAAGCAAGATGATCTTTGAGGTCCTTTTTAACCCAGGCCGTTCTATTATTTGCTTACTGACCTCTTGTGGTAGTTGCAGGCATGAAACACTAACAGGATCAGACCCTTAGATATTTTTTTTATCTGAAATTTGTATTTGAACCCTGTACGCCAGTGTGTGCTAACTATATATGGCATTTGAATTGAAGCTGCAGTTGAATCATACAAATTCATCTTGTTATTGGCTGGAAAATAGCTTATTTTATAAGTCAAAGATCTAAAATTCCTTACAATTCTCAAGTGAAGTTCCAGTGGATATAAGGGCCCTAAATTATTGACACACAGCTCCAGATTTTTATTACATTTTCTGATTTACCTTTTCCATAAGGTAGGAGTCTTGCATTTTACCTGTGCAAAAGTCAATACCTCATTTAGAACATGAGTTGGAGAGAGGGGCTATTTCACCTGAGGTAATGCTAAGCTATCACTGTTTGCTTCCTCACATGCCTCTCTTTGGAAGCTTTCTTCTGTTTGAGTTATGTCATGCTGAAGTGGAACCTTAAGTGTGAGTTCAATATTCATTTCTTTGTTGCTGCTTTGAGGCTCAGAAGCAATTGCAGTAGGAGAGTTAAAGAAAGAAGATAAAGTAAATTAAAAGTTAAGCTGAGAAAGCTGCTGATTCTACTTTTTTTTTCCCCATGCACAACTTAGCAGAAACTGGATCCCTTCTGCTTCAGATTAGTCAGTCAGTGGCTATTAGAAAAGTACTTCTAGTTGTTGTACTCAGTTTTGTCATTTGTCCTTGACAACTTCTGTAGTTATTTCATTCAGTGATTAGTTTTAGCAGAATAATACAGAAAATTGAGTACTATGGTTAACTGTGACATGACGTAGGAGGGGAGAAAAAAACAATGGCTGCAAAAAAGCTTGAATGTAATGAGCAGCCATTTGTCAAAAATCCTCACAGTTTGGTATTTTTGGAGCAAAGTGAGGGTTGGAGGTACAGAAGGACAGGAGAAACTGATGATTTGCCCACAATAGCGGCAAAAACTGGAGCCCTTCACAATACTTGAAATGCTTCATATTTGGCTGTAAACTTCAAAAAATATGCTACTTTGTAAGTAAGTGGAAGGTAAACAGCATTTTTTAAACATGTACCAAAATACCAACATCCTATCAGAACCCTGACATTTCTGAAACACCAAATGGCTGTGGAAACCCATCACTACACTGAATTGTCTTTTTTCCTTTGAACAGTAATTTGGAAAACAGCTACTTTTCCCTTTCTGAGCGCAGCCTGTGATGCAACGAATATCACACTGGAGTAGGCAGGTGTACCTGGTCTATCAGAGCGCTTATTTCCAAACATCTGTTATTATGGTCACTAGCGTTTAGCAGGTGTTGACTGCCACACTTAAGAGTTTTGCCTTTCTGGTGCCCAGCTGTATGGGAACTGCTGAATCATGACCTGAACCTCTGATCACCTGAGGCAAGCAATGAATCAGCCCTGGTAGCACAGGTGAAGGCAATTCTCCTCTGCTGCTGGAAGGGGTGGCTCCACCTCTCCTAGACCCCATGTAAGTGCTGACTGGCAGTAGGGAAGGATCTCTTCCTGGAGATCATGCCTTTTGGAGTTTTCCAGTGAGCCTAGGACGAGTTAGTCCCGTATCTGTTCTTTTAGGTGTAATAACCTACTTAGCCAAACTTTTTCATGTATTACTTAATTATAGCGCTGTGTATCCATAGATTATACACCAGTGTAGAGATTCTACCTGTGAGAGCAGTGGGAATGTTTTGCTGGTTGTAAGTGAGCAGGAAGAGGAAAAACGTGGCTTTCTCAGCATGTACCATTTCTGCTAGCAGGAAAACGTGTTAACCCTTCTTTGAGAATGGAATGTTGTCTGAAAGGAGGTGAGCAGTGATTTTATTTAATAGAGTTTAGGGAAGAGTCAAACTTGCAGCTGGATAAAATCTGCTTTGTCTGTTGAGGAAAGAACATTCTGGTTACTTACTGGTGTTTCTGCTAGGAGGA